TAGTAGTAGTAGTAGTATTATTATTATTATTGTTGTGAATCTTCATATATGTTGAATTGTAGATGTTTGTATGTTCAGCTGACATGTTGTGCAGCGACTAGAAGACAGTCCCATGAAATAAAGCCTTCCTGAAACTCCAGTATGGTAACCTTTTAAAGGAGTAGCCTAAAATAGTGCCTGTGATACCACAAGGACCCCACCAACAGCTGAAGAAGAAGAGCAGCAAACTCATTGTGTAAAAAAAACGATAAAACACTCACATATCTGCTCATGCTGTCTTTGTCGTCCACTTTGCGTTTCTTGGAGTCGAGACCGTAATCTGAAGAGCTGCGGTGCTTCTCGCTCGACGCCCGCAGGCTGTCTGATGGCGACACTGAGTTATTCTGCCAACGACAACAACAACAACATGCAGCCAGACCACATCAGTCACCAGTTCCCTCTGAATGTGCTACACACCTTTGACATCCTCAAAACACCGTCAACAACCACATCATATAGCGATACGCTTCAACTCCTACGAACATTACTGTGTGTTTCATGTTGTAGAATAAAGTGAGCTCCACTGTATAAATCTATCTATGTATATCTATATATGACCTTCAGTCAAGTGAATAATTTGGGGCTTCAAAGCAGCAAGTGACAAACCCGCAGCAACCAGAGAAGCCGTAAACAACCACAGGGTGCGTTTAAGTCCAGGCATGGCTCTGGAGCCTTTTCATTTGTCAGAGCAATATTGACTGTAAAGCTAAACGCACAATGCTCCTGGAGTGATTTGGGATAGAAGGTGCAGAAGAGGATTCTGGGACAGCTTAACCCTGCTGCTGCTGCTGCCAAGGCAGTGGAGCAAGGAGGAAACAGACAAAGGCGGCTGAGCAAACCCACAAACACACAAAACGCCTCTGGAAGACAAAAGCATTAACTCGCAAGCTGGGTGATGTGCAGGGCAGATTGAGCAGAGGTGGAGAGAAAATGTGAGGTGGGAAGCAGAGTGCAGCATGGGATGCTTGGTGTACATTATACACACACATACACACACACACACAACGAGACATCTAATCCTCTTGTAGACCCTCAGTGACCTGGTCAGAGACACGCTTGAACCAACATCAACAATTTAGGCCAAACACAGCTTGCATTCCTGACTGTACTTTTTCTCTGTGTGACATACAAACATAAAGAAAAGTGACCAGGATCTCTCACTGTGGAGCTATAAACTCATGTTAATTAGTCTCTGTGTCTGTCTGTCTGTGTGTGTGTGTGTGTGTGCGTGTTGTGCGTGTGTGTGTGTGGTGCCAGGTCGGTGACAAAACAGAGAAAATGACAGCGAGAGTTCATGAAACTCAAGCCAGAGTAATACAAAAATTTTAAAAAAAAGGAAAGAAAGAAAAGACCATTTTGAAGGAAACTTGGAGCAAGAGTGCAATGTGGAAGACACAAAGAGTGTTGCCAGCGAGAAAAAGAGCCATGAAAGAGGCAGAGTGAAAAATGAGCGGAAAAAAAGAGGAAGAAAGACAAGAGAGCAAAACAGGAAAGGAACTTGGCAAGCAATGAGAGCGTAGCAGTGTGGCAATGAGTTCTCCCCACTAGTGGGAATGCCCGGACAGGCTGGCACTCTCTCAGAAGCTGCAAACGGGGTTTTTGTAGTCTGGGCACTGGTGTGGTGGGGTAGCACTGCCAAACAGGCCGACAGGCAAGGAGAGAGGGAGGAGGGAGGAGGAAGGGTGAGGGCGAGCACACCCTGAGGCCGGCCCACACTGTCAGGAAGCTCAACAAATCCCTGCCTTCATCAGAAACAGGAAGATATGGTGAAAGAGGGAGAGGGAAGATGTCTGACTGCTTGGCTGCGGATGACGGGAAGAGAAAGAAGAGCAGCAGAAGAAGGTGACAAAAAAAAACTGAGCTGAGGAGAGTGAGGATAAAACACACACACTGCGGTCGGCCAGTTAATGGCACATCCCTCCTTCTCAGGTTAAAATACAGGAATTTGTTCAGCTACTGTTGAAGAATTTTGGTCTGGCTCGGTGTGAAGATGCTGCCTGACAGACAAAAAACTCCAACAGCAGCATTACAGCCTGTCTGTGTACCTGAGCCTGTGACCTTTAAAGGATTGCTTAGACTCAGAAACCCTGCACTTGCCTCCAATTCTGGTATCAGATGACCTGAGACAACGGGACAGGAAGACGCTACGTGTGTGTGGGTGTGCGCACTGGAAAGGAGAGGGAGGGCAGGGCGGTGGGGAGATCAGGTGAGGTAGTACTGGCAGCCGCTCGTCACCATACGAGATGGGGGAAGAGTTTGGGTTCCCTTCAGACATGAGTGGGCTCATTCAGGATGACCAGTCAATGGGAACTCAATCTGGCCGAGCAGATCCAACAGAGCGTTACGCTCCAGCTAACTGAGAGCTTTAAGCCAGTCCAATAAACAAGGGCTTTAACATGAGAAGGAAGAGGGAGAGAAAGAGAGAGAGATAGAGACAGAGGGGGAGAGAAGAAGTGGTGGAAAGAAGTAAATGAGTAAGATAAGAAGAAGAGAGAAAATAAAAAGCCATACACAAATGAAAAGGAGAAAGGTAGATAAAAGGAGATGAAAAGGAGTCAGATATTGGACACATGCAACAGTGAATCCTTTAAAGTGGCGAGGGAAGAAGAGAAGGAGAGTCAAAGTCGCTTTTAATTGTGCTGAAATTAAAGGAGGCAGCCGACCTCTAATCCTCGCCCAGTGATTGGAGTCATTTTCCACCTGGATTAGATGGCACTGGCTTATTTGGCCAGACTTCATTATTTGATTTCAGTCACTCCCCAGAGTACAAAAATGTATGTGTTCTTACACAGAGAGCATGAATTTCTATTGAACAGTGGGCTTAAGTCTATGTAAAGTACACCTAATCACCAAACACAGCGAGCCAGAGAGCGACAAAGTCAAGAGACACACAGGAGATGGAGAGTCAACGTACCGTGCTCGACTCGCGTTCTTTCAGAGGAATGGCCAGAGGCGAGTGAAAAGATGAGGGTCCAGGAGAGACAAAAGCAAAACACAAATTAGTATGCGTGTCACCACGACTCCCAACGCCAATCAGATAACAGTAATGACATCATCATTCAGCTAAAAGATTGAGCTCATGTATGCAACTCTTTATTAATTATTAATAAAACTACTTTCTAATGAGATGTCTTTATTTACTGATGCTTTGGATGAGTCATTATTGACTTCAGGTGTTGATCCTCCTCCAGCAGAACACTTTTATCTTTAGTTCATCAGGTAGAAACTCCAAGTTTTATTCATTATTTAACATTTATAAATATATACTTAGTGAACTGCTAGAAAACCCCTTTATTAATGTCTTCACATCTATAATTACAGATGACTTATGAACTTCTTCTTTTGGATTATTAGAAAGCAAGAAACTTGTGATCCTTAATGACGTTTATTTATTAATTATTAACATATATAACTGCAGACTCGATGGCATATTAGTGAGAAACTCAAACTTTTATTAATGACTTTTAACAATCTGGCTTATTAGAAAGTGGTAGCTTCATTTCCAATAAGAAAAAGCTGCAGAAGGTTGTACTTTATTTTATATTAGACCGACATTACCACCTGTATGTATGATAAATGACTCATTCTTGATCCTCTACACTAGCTGTAGAGTTCAAACGTCTTTCCTGTTTCCTAACTGGAGTTTAACCTGTTTAATTCTGTACATAGACACTAAAACATACAGTGACACAGTTGTTTCTGTGATAAATATAAATGATTTCTATAAATATAAAGTCTGTGGCAGGCTGTGCTCCTCACCTCTGTGCTCCAGGTCGTGGTGGTTCTTCTCGTCCTTTACGGGCAGGTGGGCCTGGCTGCCAAGAGCGCCCAGAGCCAGCAGGCCGGAGCCAGCGCCCGTTACAGGGGGGATGCCGGGCGGTTGCAGGCCTGAAGGGTGTGGGGGCAGCTGGACTGGGGGGCCGTGGGCAGCGTGAGAGAGGTGTTGAGCCTGAAGCTGCTGCTGCTATAAACAAACGCAGAGAGACAGGGAGACAAGAAAGAGGACAAGTGGGTCGGCTGGGAAGTGAATCCATGAATGAATGCACTCTACTCATGCATTAGAGCTGGCCCTGACAACATTTAGTTCAAGGCCAAACCGTTTATGCATAATAGCAGCCTGACAGCGGCTGCCAACATGCTGATCCAGCTCATTCACTGTCTGAGGGGGAAAAACTGATTGTGTTCGTCGCTGTAGACGTACAGTGTGAATACCATCTGGTTGAAAGCGTTAGACGGTAGAACACATTCATTTCTGTGTGTTAGTACTTCATCTCAAGGTCTTTAGCATTTGACTGTTCATTATTATCCTAAAATACACATTTTACCGACTTCAAACACGCTGATTTTTCACACTAATTACAGGCTAGTAAAATATATTTTGAGTGACTTATTTTCATCTGTCAAGTATTGTTTGATTAACTCTATAAAATGTTTAGTCTAAATTGCTCAACATTAGTGAAAAATGACCATGATTGCTCTCCAGAACTCAAACTGAGGCCTTGAAATTGCTGGTTTTTGTTTGACCAACAAATTAAAACTGCAAATATATTCGATTTACACTGATATAAAACAAATCCCCACATTTGAGAACCAGAGAATATTTGAAAATGATTTAAACAAATGAATCAAAATTACCGCTGATTCATTTTCTGTTGATTGACTAATACAAAAGTTGACAATCAGCTCTGAGCAAAGGTTTGCACATGAATGAGCTGCAGTGTTTATACTACAGACCTGGAACTCTGTTCATATCATGCTCTTAGAAATTGCTTATTGTTTCTTAGACCTTTATGAAACACCTATGTTTCACTCCAACAACAACAAGTCTCCTCTGGTCGTCAGAAATGGAGCCGAGCGTTTATGCTCACACCCGAACCGCTGTGCTTCAATCATAGCTGGGACAGTTAAAAATCAATAGGTCTGCACTTGAAAACCTCAAAACCTTTCAACACTCTGGAAAACCAAGCAAGCATGCCCACTCCTCTAGCAAAATGCTGTTAAGCACAGACACAGTGGAGAACACACACACCTCCCAAGAGGCCATGGACGTCTGTGCGAGAGAGGAGTGAGTAGATAGACAGGAGTTAAATAGCCACTCAGGCAAGAGGGAAGCAAGTGCTTTAAAACAAGGTTAAATAACACTTAGCACGTCCATCAACTGCCTCTTCAAAAAAAAGAAAAAAGAAAAAACATGATTGCTATTCTGCTTGCTAGATAGAACTTCAATAACCTCATCCATACATTCATTACAGAACCAGAAGAGGCTACATCTAGTGGCTTACCACACTTAAAGGTTTATTCAGCCAACTGGCCATTATTCAGTCAGCTCATTACGTTGAGCTGGACCTGAAATCGTACAATGAATATAAGCGACTGAGGGGCGGCATTGTTAATCGATATTGTACTGGTGCGCCGAGCAGCCTATTTGTTGCGAAGAAGGAAAAGCGAGCAGAAAGAGAGAAGCAGGGGGCAGCCAGAACAAGAAAAGGAGGGAGAGGCAGAATCAGAAAATAACAAGAGAATGAAAGAGAGAGGGATTGAGGCAGGGACGTCCCTATTCAGTGTGCCTAATGAGGAAAAGCGTGCAGGGATCATTATCAAGAAGCCTCATTAACGAGCTATGGCTGAGGAGAGGAGAGACGAGAGACGATAGAAGAGAGAGAGAGAGAGAGAGAGAGAGAGAGAGAGAGAGAAAGAGAGAGAGAGAGAGAGAGGAAGAGAGACGAGAAGAGAGAAAGAGAGAGAGAAGAGAGAAGAGAGAGAGAGGGGGGGGGGAATTCAGAAAATAAATTGCTTCCAATTCAATATTCATGGATAAAGAGCTGGCTTCCTTTCACACTTATCTTTTTTCATTATGTGTAAATGCCGCCGCAGCTCAAGCAACTTCCACAGGAAACAGGCAATTAAAGTTAACTAGGCGAAGCTGGCTCCCTGCAGAACAGTACTGTCAGGTGGAACAAGCATCAACAGCACCAGCACAAACCAGCTGGCAGACTGGCTTAATAAGTCTGGCAGTGATCGCCACATTACCTACTTATGTTTGTGCTTTTACAACGGCTTCTGTGGCTCGTCATATTTCCTGAGATTTCCAAAGATTAGACTACTACTAAAAACACAGCGCCGAAAATAGACCCGATTGATTTTTAGTATTGGAACAGGATTAAAGATTAGACGGTTTTAAAGATTAGATATAAAGAGCTAAATACCATAAACACATCTGATTCATGCTTTGTCCCCCCAAACGGCATCATGTCCCCCTCACAAAGACTTGCTGGCAATCAAAAAACAGACTGTTTCTCTATGTTTGGACTTCCTGAACACTGACCATAAAAGCAGGGTAGACACTATGAGGCGGCGGCTGCTGCTGTTGGGTCAAAAGAGGGGGGGAGAGGAGAGATTCAGCCAGAAATGATACAAGCAAGAACATGACAATGAAAACTGGGGATGCAACTAACAGTTATTCACATTATTGGTATATCCCACAGATTGTATAATTGGGATGCATTTTTCAGTTTGTGCAAAGTGAAACGTCTTCAAGCTGCTTGTTTTGTCCCAAAATACCAAAATATTCAGTTTGCAATCAAAGAAAAACATCAGATATTCACATTTAAGAGGCTGTAACCTGCACAGTTTAACTCTCTGCTGAACAACTATTGGATTAATCAACTAATCGTTTAACTCTAATGCTAAATTAATTAGGGACAACACTGAGCTTGATCTGTTAACTAGTGAATCTAATAATAAAGCTGTCTATAAACCATCCTCCTAAAACACGGACAAAATCTCAGACTGCTTGTAGAAAATCTAACACACTCAAACTAGGGCTGCACAATATGGTAAAAACATCATATTGCAATTACTTC